CATTAATAGACATATCTTATCATCAATTTCATTAAAATTTTATTTCCTATTTCTTAAATTATTTTAAAATTAAAAAATGATTTTGACTATAATTTATTAAAAGAATTAAGGGAATTAGTATTTAGCGTTAAAAAGTACATTTAAAAGCCTTAGGGGATTAAATTAAAAATAATAATTTATCAAGCATTATAAATTAAATAAATATATTTTTTTAATCAAAATTAAAAATTTAATTCGTTTAAGGTTTAAATTAAAAGGTAGATGTTTAATGCTTTAAGGGGAATTAATATTTATATTTTTTTGATGGATTTTCTTTAAAAAAAATTTTTTAGTACATTAACGAAGGTTTTTTAAAGTTTAAAAAATTTCTTAATAATTTTTTTTAATTCCAATGTCCAAAATTTAAGTGAAAAATTAAAATTTATTTTTAATATTAATAACTAAGGTAATAATAAAATACTGTAGGACTCACTTATAGTATTCTCGGTGTCTTTTTTTATCTGGATCAGGGATGGCCGAAATTTCGCTTGTGTCTTGCTCTTTCGTGCCCTTTTTTCTCTTTCGTTTCGCTCTGAAAAAAAATTTTTATTTCGGCCATCCCTGATCTGTATGACCTTTGAATAAAAGGAGTGAGGTGGGGGAGGCTTAAATTATACTCCCGCATACCTCCATTATCGAGTATAATTTCGTTCTAATATGTGATTAGTTTAGCCCTGAGGGTGTACAAATAAGTGGGGTAGACCATAATTTAAATTAAAAAATATTTAATTAAAATTAGAAAAATTTTTTTGTAAGGTAAAAGTGCATTGAGCTGCGCGAACTTGAAAACTTTAAATAATAAAACTAGGTAGGCGAGAGAAGGGAAAAAACAAGTTCGAGACTGACTCCTTTCTTGGAATTCGATGAAAAATAAAAGTGTAATTAAGTATTTAATGAATTTTTGAGAGAATTTTTTAAGAGAGAGAGAGAAAAGGAGAAGATACAAAGTGCGTAATAATTAAATAATTAAAATTGAAAAATAAATTTTTTTTAAACGAAAAATGCGGGTCGAGAAAATAATAATAATTTTAAATTCAAGATTTTTAATTTTTAAGATAAATTCATCATTTTTAAATATATTTAAAGAGTTTGGAATTTTTGAAAAATAATAAAGTTGGTATTTTGTTTAAAGTTTATTATATAACCGGAAAGTAATATAAAAATAGGTATAAAAACTGTTTAATTTATATTAAGTTTAATTCCGGAAAAATAAATTCCGGAAATAAAATTAATTTTATAAAATTATAATTTCCGGAAAGAAGAAATAATTCCGGAAAAATAATTGTTTTCCGGAAGCAATAAATAATTTCCGGAAAGGTAAACAAATTCCGGAAAGAAAATTAATTCCATAAATTACAATTTCCGGAAAAATATAATTCCGGAAAAGAAAATAATTATTTTCCGGAAGGAATAAATACTTTCCGGAAAAGTAATAAGTAATTCCGAATGAATAATATAAATTCCGGAAGGAATAATATTTTCCGGAAGAATAAACAATTTTCCAGAAAAATAAACAATTTCCGGAAAAAATAAACTAAATATTTAACCGGAACAAGTGAACCTGCCTAGATATTAATGTAAATTTTCCTGCATACAATTTTCCGGAAAAATAATGGTATTTACAATATTTTAACAAAATAATAAACATGCTCAGCGCTCCAGATTTTTAAAAATCAAAGGAAACGAGCAAATCTTTAAATAAATTAATTTTTAAGATTCTGGCATTGGCAAAAATGATGGGTACATAAAATTAGAAAAATTTGAAGGAATAAAAAATATATTAAAAAATAACCTTGAAAATTAATAAAAGAAAGGAGAATATTAGGTAATTGACTGGCAAAATAAATATTTATTTTTGCAAGTAATAAATTTTATTTTTATTTTTTGATTGAGGCGGATGCGCAGTAGTTAAAAATATATTTATTCTACAAAAATGGCATTGGCTCTCTTAGGCTCTTTTACTCGTTCCGTTCACCCTTTCAAAATCCCTTTTAAAAAATTAATTTTTCCTCTAAAAATCATTCATCCCCCCTTTCATTTAACTCGACTTTTTTTCTAATTTTTTCGTGATTTTATCAAACCCCCTCAAAACCCCCTCAAAACACCCCCAAATAAGGGTAGCAACTGAAAAACAAACTTGGAAAAAGAGAGGCCATCCATCCAAACAAAAATTCGTACGATGGTCTCCCTTAGACTCTCTATTTTTCATCAAATTTTGTCTTTAATCTGTCACAATTTTAAGCAAATTATTCGAGACAAGTCCGAAAATTTATTCTTATAGCCTGCCAAAAATATTCAAAGCTTGCTTGTCCTTCACACACCTTCCCCCCTCTTTTCCTCATTTCCTCCCGTTCAGATTCTTTCAAAATACGATTTATGCATTTTTTTAAATATTAAAATGGTTCCTCAATAAAATTATAAAAAATAGAGTTTGAGAAAAGGCTGAATATGTGAATATATTTAATTTAAACGAGAATTAAGTAGGGAATTTTTGGCGGCCAAAAATTTTGTTTTTAGGTAAATAAATATTTTTTTAATAATAAAAGTGAAAAATGGAGGAAGAAAAAATTTATTGAGAAAAATAGAAATTTTATTCAGAAAAAAATAATTTAATTGAATTATGCCTAAAAAATCGAATTATGCCTGAAAAAGGAACTACCTAATCCGGAAAGATAATCCCTCTTAGAAATAATTAAACTTATATGTATATAGAATAGTATAGCTTTTCCGGAAAACAATAGTAGCTTAGTCAGTTAATTTATTTCCGAAATATTATTTTCCGGAAGGAATTAAATATGCTAACCGGAAATATATATATATATATATATATTAGGTATAACTTTTCCGGAAAACTTAAAAAAATAAAATTATAAGAAGATTTTTCCGGAAACTTTGCAAGTCAGTTAATTATAAAATTATTTTCCGGGGGCCTTACAAAATTGAAAACAGAAAATAAAAATATTAAAAATAAAATCAAAAATACCTCACCCTTGGTTTTTATAAAAGCATGTGTTTTTTGTCAAAAATTCTTGAAAATCCCCGCTTATGTAAATTTTAAAAAGGGAAAAGAGAGTGAGTTAAGCGGGACATTATTAAACAAAAAACGTGGGAACGTTTTTCCTTATTTATATGATTTCGGCATTTTATTTACTCTTTTTTAGGAAGGGGGTAAGGAAGAAAAAATAAATTTATTGTAATTTTAAGGAAGAGTCAATTGCAGTAGTATTTAACAGTAAAATAACAAATGAAGCATAGGCATAAAATAAACTTGAATTTAAAAATGAACGGAAGGGTGAGTTAATCTATTTCCGGAAAATATTATTTTTCCGGAAGGAATAAGAAATATTAACCGGAAATATATTAGGTATGAATTTTCCGGAAAATTAAATAGAAATCTTTCCGGAAAATATATAGAAGTCTAGGTGAGAATATAATTACGGAAGAATAAATTACATAGGTATGGGTTTTCCGGAAAATATTATTTTCCGGAAGGAGAAAGAACTTTTAACCGGAAATATATTATGTATAATTTTTCCGGAAAATTAAATAGAAACCTTTCCGGAAAGTCTATTTAGAAGTCTAGTAGAGAATATAATTCCGGAAGAATAAACTAGGTATGGTTTTTCCGGAAAATATTATTTTCCGGAAGGAGAAAGAACTTTTAACCGGAAATATATTAGGTATGAATTTTCCGGAAAATTAAATAGAAATCTTTCCGGAAAATATATAGAAGTCTAGGTGAGAATATAATTACGGAAGAATAAATTACATAGGTATGGGTTTTCCGGAAAATATTATTATTTCCGGAAAATATTATATTCCGGAAAGAATAAGACTTATTAACCGGAAAACTTAAAGAAACCTTTCCGGAGAGTCTATTTAGAAATTTAGTAGAGAATACAATTCCGGAAGAGTAATATTTTTCCGGAATGTATTAATCATTTGTAGAATACAAGGGTTTCCGGAAAATAATGTACAAAAGCTTGACTGGTCATAGCTTCTAATAGAGAGCCAACTAAAATCAGAATTAGTGTAAAATATAAAATGCTTCAATAAAAAGCAAAAAATTATGAAACTTGAAACCTAAGCATAAATAAGCTTAAAATCATAAAAAAATCCACGATTTTTACGATAACAGAAAATGCCCTAAGAAAAGTATGGAGACACTAAGGCAGCTGACTTGAAGAGGAAATATTAAGAAAATAAAAATATTTAATAAAAAACATTATTAAAAATTATTTTGGCAAATTACTAAAAGGACTAAAAATTGAAATATGAAACTTAAATCGAGGAAAATCAGGAAAATGGGAAGATATAACATTTTTACGTTTTTAGAGAATTTTATTAATCCTTAGAAAATAATAATAAAATTATTAGGGAAAAATAAATTTAATAAATAATTAACTCTATTATTTAATTATACCTAAGTTTTCGGGAAAACTATAGCTAATATACAAACTTTCCGGAAAATCAAAAAAACTTTCCGGAGTATACAACTTCTGGAGTATACAAACTTTCCGGAATATGTATGAGCTTCTGGAAACTAAGAGGAAGCAACAACTAAATTCCGGAAACATTTCTATATTTCCGGAAGCATTTGTATACTTCCGGAAAATAAATAAAAGTGCTATTAAACTTTCCGGAAAAAAATCTATACTTATATATAAACTTTCCGGAAAATCCAAAGGAACATTTCTAGCATTTACTAAATTCCGGAAACACTTGTACACATGTTTCCGGAAAATAAACAAATAAAAAATAATCATAAAACCTTCCGGAAAACATAGAAATTAAAATCAATTCTCCGGAAACTATAAAAAAATTAATGCTTCCGGGATATAATAATATAAATTTATCATTTATATTTATCAGAATATTATAAATTATATACATTAATTCAAGTGTATCGCTTAAAATATATTTACAAAAAATCCTCAAATTTTTATTTTGAGAATTATTATTCATTTTCCAACACCCATCAACAATTGTTGAGCTAGCAACTTTAATGCTCGATTTTCAGAACATTGGATGGAAATTAGTGTTAAGTCGAGTAATGTCGGTGGTGCAAGTAGACGTTGTTGAGAGATGCGGAAACAGCGCATCTTACAAAAAAATTTTTTTCGGTGAAAATGCCAAAAATATTCTAATAGACGCCCTGGGCAATAGCCTAATTGAGTGGACTTTTAATAAGGCATGGGCTTTTATTGGAGATGGGCTTCTATTAGAACATTTACGATATTCAAATTACTCTTTCTCTTTCATTTCCATTTTGTCGAATTAATACAAGCATAGCCCCATCAGCGCTCATCACAACTTCGGCTCGTTCACTTGCAGGTGCTTCCCATTCTGCCATAGGGCCAATCCAACACTTTTTCAACAAATTTAAACACCCCAAATGCCAAACTCGTAAATTGCTTTTTTCTTCTTTTTCAGTCCAAAACAAAGCTGGGACGAATTGAGGAGTATTTCCAGTGTGTCGAAAATAAATTTTTGAATTTTGTGGAATTTGTTGAGCGAGGAATGGAGTTAATATATCGTTGTGTTTTAGACGAGGCGGGAAATTTGATGTGTTCTGTAGTTCAGCAAAAGGTTTTTGACGGATATGCTGCGTATTGTATATGAAGCTAAAAATAAAGAAATTTTATTTTGTGTGACCAAATGGGTCAGAATCTACTAAGTGACCAAATGGGTCAAAATATGCGAGGTGACCAAATGTCTATAAATACACAAAGTGACCAAATGTCTAGAAATACACAAGGTGACCAAGTGTCAAGAAATACACAAGGTGACCAAGTGTCTAGAAATACACAAGGTGACCAAGTGTCAAGAAATACACGAAGTGACCAAATGTCTAGAAATACACGAAGTGACCAAATGACTAAAAATATACGAGGTGGCCAAATGTCTAGAAATACACAAGGTGGCCAAATGTCTAGAAATATACGAGTTGAGCCAAAAATCTATTATGTGACCAAATGAACTCAATTAATTTATCAACATACGGAAAAGCGCCATAAAATGGAGGGATATAGTGTAGTGTACCGGTGGTAAAAGTTCGGGATGTGACATATGTCATTTGATTCGTCTCGACGAGCTGAGTCGAATGGTACCACTCCCTACTTTAGGAAATGATTCTGGACCGAGTTATAGGTCCCGAAAAATTGAAAAACCATAGGGGGGAGTAAGCTCGATTTTGGGGTGAAAAATTCGAATATGCAAATAATAGCTCATTCGAAAGAGCTCGTCGAGCTGAGTCGAATGACACCAAAATCAACGAAATCTGACTTGATTGGACCGAGATATAGACCCCTAAAAACCAAAGATCCAAAGGGGCGATTTTTGGAATAAAAAATTTTTTATACAAATAATACCTCATTCGAAAGAGCTCGACGAGCTGAGTCGAATGACACCAAAATCACCGTGATTGAACAAGATTAGACAAAGTTATGACACAAAAAACCTAAACCTATGGAGCGTCGGCGAGGCGCTTGTGCAAAACCCCGCGCTTCGCGCGGGGTTTTGCGGCACGCGCCTCGCGGGGAGTCTACGGGCGCTGGGTCTGGGCTCGTAACATAAACCTAGTCCCATCTCCCTTACTCTGGATGTACTTGGGGCTCCAGTATCATCAAAAACCTTCACGGGCGCCATAGGTAAGGAGCTAAAACAAACGAGCATAACTTTGTCCAATCAAGTCGAATTTCGTTGATTTTGGTGTCATTCGACTCAGCTCGACGAGCTCTTTCGAATGAGCTATTATTTGCATATTCGAATTTTTCACTCCAAAATCGAGCTTACTCCCCCCTTTGGTTTTTCAATATTTCGGGACCTATAACTCGGTCCAGAATCATTTCCTAAAGTAGTGAGTGGTACCATTCGACTCAGCTCGTCGAGACGAATCGAATGACATATGTCACATCCCGAACTTTTACCACCGGTACACTACACTACAGCCAAATGGAGTTCTACCATTTTCTTCAGAATTAGAGTAGCCTCTATAGAAAGGATCGCAAGAACTCATTTCTCCACAACAATGAGACTTCCTCAACCTTCCAAGGAAAAATATTTTTTGTAATTGATTCCTAGGCTCCATTTCAGCCAATCTATCAATACAATTATCAGGTAATAATCCAGACATTCCCGGCCTAGCTAAAAAGAAGAAAGAGCCTGAAGTAGTCCCTTTTAAATTAACAATATCGGGAAGTAAAAGTTCCTCTGAAAACAATGCGTTAGTTGGGCAACGAGGTAAAGTTACCATGTGTTGTTGTGGAGGTGCTAAATTAGTATATTTTTATTTGCAAGTCTTAGTTATCGTAAAAGTTCAGTAAAAAATTTTATAGTAGAGTTAATATAAGCGATCAGGAAATAAACAAATATTTTCCGGAAACATTAATATCTTCAATAGTGAACTTTAATATTTTCCTGAATAAACTACTATTTATTTTCCGGAAACTTTAATAATTTCAGGAATTTTATTCAGGAATTTTTCAAATTTTTCCTGAACTTGAAAACATAAACTTTTTCCGGAACAAACATTAATAATTTCCGGAAACGTAGACTTTTCCGGTTAATAACTAATATTTTCCGGAATAAACTTTGATATTTTCCGGAAAACTTAAATATATTTTCCGGAAATTAATATTTTCCGGAATAAACTTTAATATTTTCCGGAAAACCAAAACTTATTTTACTCGAATTATTATCCTCCTCCTCAAAGTAACTTCCAATCAACACAACAATTTCCTCCCCTACCAAAACATTGGAAAAGGAAGAAACTTCAGTTGAATATTGTCGATGGTTCGGTCCCATCCATTCAGCAGTACATTGAAAATGATTTAGCTTTAAAACAAATTTTTCAAATAAAATTTCCCTCAATTTACCCTAAATATTCGTTGTGAAAGGACTCGTTGTGTTCCCTCAATTTTCAGATCAATTATAACCATTTTATCATCATCTCCATCCATTAACCAATAAATAGCTACAAGTTCACCGAAACGGGAGCAAAGTCCAATAACTCTATAATTTGTACATTTTCCGGTTAACAAGTCTTCATAGCTGAGAAAAGGCATTCCGTTTACCTGGTATTAAAAAATATAATTAATATAAATTAGTCTTCTCCGGAAAAATTCAGGAATACTAAGCTTCAGTAAGCAACAGTTCGTGAAAAATATTATTTCCGGAAAACAAGGTTGTAAGAAATATTTACAGAAAACGAAGTTTTAGGAGGCTATATTTCCGGAAAACAATATAAAATATTTCCGGAAGACAAGCAACGTTTATTCTTAGACATTCCGGAAAATAGAAAAGTATGTTCGAAAAATATGTTTAAGTTTCCGGAAAATATATAATTTATATATAAAAATATTCCGGAAAGTAAGAATAGTCTCATATTTTTCCGGAAGCAGTATAATCATAAATATTTTAAAATAATTCATTCACCTCTCCATTTTTCCTAATCCGCCAAATTACACGGCCATTGAACGAAAGAAGTTTAGGCGAAATTTGCCTATCCATCCAAAAAGGGAGAAAAGAATTTGTTGAAAAATTAGTGTTATATGATGACTTTAGTAGACTATAAATTAATAAATACTAATAAAATGGACATTCTCGCCAAGACAAAAACACAAAAAAATTGACCAAATTTTGATAAAAGAAAAATTAATATTAAGTAAAAATAGCTGGAAATAAGCGAATAAAACAAGTCAGAAAATGTAGACTGAAAAAAAATTGGAAGAAAAAGGGGGTAATCAATTCACGTGCGAGTAGCAGACAAGTCTGTTAGTTTTTTTTAAATGGCAGACATTTCTGTTCGTTGGAAACTAGATATAATTAAATTGTTAAAAGTACAAAATAATAAAAAATGGGTCTTAAAGGTTTATTTTTAAAGAAAATGAAAGAAAGAATTTTAAAATTAAATAAAGGAACATTTTTTATTTTATTAACGTCAAAAAAATGGGATCACCCTAGAGTATCGACACCCAAAATATCGCACCCAGAGTATCGACACCCAAAGTATCGAATGACCCAAAGTATCGAATTTTTTAAATTTCATAATTAAGTATTCCAATGATCGGGCATGATGCTCTAACATCAGGGAATTGTGTTTTCGATCGAAATGAGCATAGCGACCGATCAAGATTCTACTTGGAGATCGATCACTCTTCTTTGATTGGACATATTGATCATGATCGATGTTTGATCCATTGTTGGAACAATTTCCCTATGTTAAAAAGACTTCCCCGTCCTTGGAATACTTAATTATGAAATTTAAAAAATTCGATACTTTGGGTCATTCGATACTTTGGGTCATTCGATACTTTGGGTGTCGATACTCTGGGGTGGACTCCAAAAAAAAATATATTTTTTTAAATAACATATGTAAATTAAAATCCTGGAAAAATCCAATGAACCTTAAAAGATTAAACGGATTTTAAAAAGCGGAACGCGAAAGGCGAAATGTGAAAGTCCAAAAACGCGAAAATCCGCGAAAGGCGAAACTGGCACACCCCTGATACACAGCTTTCCGGAAAATATATATTTTCCGGAATAATAAATAATTATAAGGGAAAAAGTGAAAGTTTCAGGTTTTCGACTGTATTATTTAACAATAAATATTATTCCGGAAAAATAAATGGAAGAATTTTAATATATTGCTATAAACTAGTGTAAACGTTCCGGAAAATATATAGATTTCCGGAATTCCTCTAAAAAATTCTTTTTTATTTTCGTTGCCCCCCCCCTGTCTAAAGAAATGTGTTAAGGTTAAATATTTTTATTTTCCCAAAAATCTAGATTTCTTTACATAATTTTTTAAAGTTAGACACACATTAAATAACAAAACAAATAGGTATATATAATCGAAAAAAACAGAATGACTTTTTTATATTAGTATTTTTAGAATCCGTGAATCTTACAATTTTCTTCTTTGACAATACCCACTTTACATAAAAAATCCTTTATGTGTTGCCGTTGGTCCCCTGTCTAAAAAAAAAATAAGAATAATAAAAAAATAAAAAAAATTCAAGTACCAATTGAATAACTTCGCCATACTCGGGATGCTCAACAATGGTACCGTTACAATTGTACTCCTTTAAATTGGGAAATTATTTAAGAAAAAATTGTATTTTTTTGGTTATTTTCCGGAAATATAAAAAATTAATATTTCAGGGCATAAGATTTTCCGGAAAAAATAGAATATTTTTCGGAAAAGTATAGTAAACAATAAGGGCAAAATTTCCGGAAAAATTATTATTTTCCGGAAATATAAAATTATCATGAAAACTTTGCGGAAAAATAAAATAAGTATTAATATATTTTCCGGAAAAGTATATTTATAAATATAAAGGTAAGATTTCCGGAAATATAAAATATTTATTTATTCAACTTTTCCGGAAAACATTATTATTTTCCAGTGATATAAAATTATCATAAAATATAACTTTCCGGAAAATAAAATAAACATTTTCCGGAGGAGTATAAATATACATTTCCGGAAGAGTATATTTATAAATATAACGATAAGAGTTCCGGAAACACAAAGTATTTATTTTATTCGACTTTTCCGGAAAATAATCTTCTAAACACAAAATAAACATTTTCCCTCACCTTCTTCAAGTAACGCACAATTTTCTTAAGATCATATTCCGTAGCAATTCCCTGCACAGTTGTTATTGTTTTCCTTCCCGTTCGTTGTTGAATGCGAATGTGACAGAAGCCTTGGCGCATTCCTTCCTCTTCTTCGAGTTGCTCAAAAGCATCTTTAAAAATTAATTTAATTTTATTTTCAAAATCTTCCCTTTACCTTTAGGTTTGTTTAAATTTTGGATAGCTTCACTCATCTTTTTGTTGTTGTCAAAAATAAAAACAAAAAAAAATTATTTTTTTCTGTAGTTTACTGAAGCTAAAAAAAAATTTTTTAAAAATAAATTAATTAAAAAATTCGAAAAATAAAAAATATATAAAAATATTCAAAAAAATTAATGAATTTAATTTTAAAAATTAAAAAAAATTTAATTTTTATTCTTCTTCAATTTTACTCAATAAAATAATTTTTGAATGTTGCCGACTAGACGAAGTAAAATATGTATGGAATATAACGGAATGTCTTTCAAAGCCTTTTTGCATTAAAAAAGATTCAATTTTGTAAAATATATGTTGATAGCATACAATTAAATTTGTTAAATATAATTTTTTTGAAAACCAATTTTTATTTAACCAAGGGATTGGAGAAGAATGGAATTGTTCAGATTCATCTGTTGTATTCTGAAAAAAGAAAAAATAAATTTTCTCTATCCGGAAAATACTTTCCAGAAAATACTTCAGACAAAAATAAAAGTGTAGTTCAGGTTCCGAAAAATACAAGAATAAATAAACACTCCGGAAAATACATAAACAAATCCGGAAAATAAATATAATTTCCCGGAAATACATACAGTCGTGGAAAAAAGTATGGAAGCGCTAGAAAATTTTTTCTTAATTCTTAATTTTTCATTCAAAAAATACGTTCTATATAGCAATCGAAAGCTCTATTCGTATCTCAGTTGACATGTTTCTACATTTTTCATGAAAATGAAAATTGGCCGAGATAATCCGGATCTACCGGATATACCAAATCCCACTTTTTCGGAAAAATTTTCCGGAACAAATTTAACAAACCCAAATGATAAAGCATATTTTTCTGAGTATTTTCCACAAAACCGCTTAGAAATATCTTTTTCCGGAGCAGAGATATGATTTTTTGAAAATTGCATTTTTCGCTTAAAAATTGAATTTTTTGCAAAAATAGACGAAAAATGCAATATTCAAAAAATCATATCTCTGCTCCGAAAAAAGATATTTCTAAGCGGTTTTGTGGAAAATAATCAGAAAAATATGCTTTATCATTTGGGTTTGTTAAATTTGTTCCGGAAAATTTTTCCGAAAAAGTGGGATTTGGTATATCCGATAGATCCGGATTATCTCGGCCAATTTTCATTTTCATAAAAAATGTAGAAACATGTCAACTGAGATACGAATAGAGCTTTCGATTGCTATATAGAACGTATTTTTTGAATGAAAAATTAAGAATTAAGAAAAAATTTTCTAGCGCTTCCATACTTTTTTCCACGACTGTATATAAAATTGTTCCGAAAAATATTGCAAACAAAAATAAAAGTGTAAGCAATTCCGGAAAATACAAAAATAAATATTCGTTCCGGAAAAATAAATAAACAATTCCGGAAAGTAATTAAATTTTCCGGAAATAGATAAATTTGTTCCGGAAAAAACAGGTGAAATACAATTCCGGAAAATACAAAATAAATTCTTTCCGGAAAAATAAATAAATAATTTTCCGGAAAAATAAATAAACAACTCCGGAATAAATAGATAAAATTGTTCCGAAAAAATAAATTCTTTTGAAAAGCAAATAAACACTTTACAGAAATAAATTAAAATTATTTTTTCCGTAAATTAATTTATTCCTCCAGGAAATAAATTAAACATTCCGGAAGAAACTAAAATAAATCCAAAACATAATAAATTAGGTAAAAATCAAAATTTACATTAATTCCACAATCAAGCATAGTAATAGACACATTTTGGGCATAAGGATGAAGACCAGCATACATTGGCATTGAAAAACAAGGCCTTGGAAAAAGAGGAAAAATTAATTTTTTTTAAAGATTTTTTTTGTTTTTCTTCTCAAAAATTTTAGAAAAGAATTTTGAAAAGAAAATTTTTTTTGAAAAAATTTTTTTCGAAAAATTTTTTTGAAAGCTAAAAAAATTTTTGAAAAATTTTGAAAATTAAAAAAATTTTTTTTGAAAAAAATTTCTCAAAAAAACTAAAAATAGTATATACATTAATTGTAACACATAAATTGTACTGCTATTGTCCTTTTGTAATTTTTCATCAACATATTGAACAATTTTATTATTTGCTACATAAGGACCGCGTTGATGGATGAGACCTAAAAAAATTTTTTTTAATTCAAAATTTTTAAAATTACCAAAATAAATTATAGCCAATAAATTTGAACCAATAATTAAATTTATTAGCCATTTTTTCAAAAATTCATTTTTATAAGAATTTATTTCAACAGCAATGTATGGGAGAAGAATCGGAATAATTGGCAAAACTGTAAGAAGAATTAGAAAAAATTAAAAAAAATTTTTTTAAATTAAAAAACTCCAGACCAGAAGGCTCAAAATAAAACCTAAAAAGAAAGTGGGGGAAACGTAACGTTCCCAGTTTTGGTCCAAGAGTCAAAAATTTATTGTCAGTCAAGGACAGTTATGTTAAGGGAAACTCGATCAAGTGGTCGACCAATATTCACCACCCCCACAAGCTCTCACATCAGCTCTTCTGTGACTCCTACCTTTCTTAAATAGAACTGGGTTCCAATAATTAGAAGTTTATTGTCAGTCAAGGATTATATGTTAAGGGAAATTCAATTGTCCTAGTCTTGTACTCGATTAAGCGGTCGACCGATATTCATCATCCCCTACTATAGTAGTTCTCAGCTCTTCTAATGCCCCCCTATTTCTTAAATAAAGGACCCAGTCCATTAACTATAATTTAATTTTAAAAATTAACCAAATCGATGTTCTTTATGAGCAATTAGTGAAAGACAGAAAATGTACAAACCAGCACATAATATATATCTAAAAATTAATAAATTAAAAAAAAGAAAATTTTTTGGATAATTAGCTAAATACATAATTGAAAAATGCCAAAAAAAATGAAAAAATTTAATGTTGAAAGGAAGAACCTTTAGAAAAAATAAGAATTTTTTAAGACCGGAGCGGAAAACAAATCGAAAAAATGATCGGAAAATTCAAAAAAAGTTCTTGTTGTTTAAACTCGTAAACAGTTTTTGAATATGGCCCAAAAGCTTGCTCCAGAGCTGGAGCCAAGAATTTAAATAAAAATCTGAATCGGAGCTATAAAACGCTCAATACCCAGGAAAGATCATAAATAAAACTCAAGAGAAATTTTGAAAAAAAATTTTTTTCTAAATAAAAACAAAATTAAAAAAAACCTTCTATCCAATCGAATATCAACATAAAAACTAGACCTAATTAATTTAACCAAAATTGTAAATAACGGAACTGAAGCAAATAACAAAATTGAAGGTAATCCTTGAGTAAAATACCAATGCCAAGGATGTGAACCAAATAAAGCATTTCCACTTTTGATTATATTAAAATGAAAAAAATTGAAAAATGTAGAAGTTGGACGTCCATAGTAAAATGAATCAAGAATAAAAGTGAACAATGGAATGATGATAACAAAAGGAGAATAACTGGAAAATTTAAAGAAGAAAATTAGAAAATTTTAAATTTAATTGGAAAAAGAAAAAAAAAAGTTTAAAAAAAGTCAAAAGCAAAAAAAAAATCAAAAGCAAAACTGGACAGGAATCGAACCTGCAACACACCTATTGGGTAGTTTTATTTCGTTATGTAGCTTTTATTTGCTAATGTAATTGAAGCAAATAAAAAAGGATAGCTAAAAAATCGAAAAAATTTTTGATTATCGCCGATAACGTTTATGCAAATGCCCTTTGAGAGAAATCGGGTCAAGGCGGGAAGGGTTTTCGAAGTTTCTTAAATCGCCTTTTCTGAGTTCGGGGGAAAACAAAAATTGTGGCTCGGAAAACCCGTCCCATATCTGCCTATAGGACGTTAAATCTTCCTTTATTTTATAGACCCCACCCGCTTAAACATCCGTCTTAAATGCCTAGTTCCTTACAATCAAAGAATAGGGGCCCGGGAAACCTATACCTGCTAACTTGTTATAGGACGTTGAATCTTCCTTTATTTTAATAAACCCACCCAACCCGCCTAAATATCGTTTTAAATGCCTAGTCCTACAAAGAAAAGAATATTTTATATTTAAAAACAAACCTCAAAATATATTTTTCCATCCTTTCTGTAACAATTTCCTGATTTATTACATCAAGTCCTTCCAATAAATAAAAAACAAAATGGCCATAACAAAGAGGTATCCATAATAACCAAGTTGTTGGCCTTATAACTGCAGCTATTGACACAATAATTAAACAAATACAAAAAGAATCAATTTTTAGAATTGAAAATTTTGCCAAATTTTCTTCTTCAGAATCATCATTTTTCTTCGTTTCTACATAATTTGCATCGTTTTTAGTGTAAAAATTTAGTGCAATTAGCATTAAACAACATTCTAAAGTATTTGATAAAGTTCTTGTTGAGCAATAAACAATAAACCAATTTGTAAAATATAGTGGAAGGAGAATATACAAGGCTAGAAAAAAATTAATTTAGAATTTGAATAAAAATTTTAATTAAAAAAAATTATTTTCCTTACAATCCAATAGACGTTCGAGATCAAAAAATTTATAGGACTCAAGACCGAAAAAAACCTAAAAAAAAGTCTTGGAATCACGACTCAAGGCGAGAGTCTCGGACGTTTCTACAATCCAACATCTAATGTAAGTAAAGCCGCCCAAACCCAATCTCAGAAAAATGGAAAGTAAGATTGGATGGGGATAACATATAGGTAGGTTTCCTATGCAAGGTTTGCTAGACAGTGCTGACAAAGGAAAACTATTCGCACTTTAGTTTACCTAAACTAAAAATTCTGATCCAACATCTAATTAAGCGGCCCTTATTATATAATTTTTATTTAAAAATTTTTGGTCACAGTCCAAGTAGTTCCCCTGTGAGTATGGCCACGGGAGCTGGCTCCGGCGGAATCATTTTTTCAAATTCAAATTAATTATAAAATAAAATTGTCAAACTAACCATCAAAAGAAAATCCAATAACAGATTTTGCCCAATTAATAAAACAAATATCAGCAATTGCAAACAAAAAAGCATGAATAATATTAGGTATCCATCTAATAATGAAGCCAAAATCAAGCGAAAATAATTTTAACAACCAAAAAGGAAAAGCATAAATTAAAGGGTGAAGAGGAGAACGAAGTGCCCATTCAGGTAACCCTTTAAAAAAATAAATTTTTTTTAATTTTAAAATTAAAAAGACAAACATTCCCAAGATAAATGTCCTTTTCCATAGACTATATGATAAGCAACCTCAACACTCTAAAAAACATTTAAAAATTTAACCTTGTTCTGATTTGTAAAATAAAAATCAGAATTTGTATTAAAACAAGTTATCCTTTTAAATTAAAACGTGTTCATTAAGAATTCTGATTTTTAAAAATCAGAATAAAATTTAAACAAACAAATGTCGTTAAAAATTCTGATTTTTTAAAAATCATAACAAAAACTAAACAAATGTTTATTGAAAATTCTGATTTCTGAAATCAGAATAAAAATTAAACATGTTCATATAAAATTCTGATTTTAAGAATTAATTACAATAAACTTACAATAACAATTAAAACATGTTCGTTAAAAATTCTGATTCCTCGAATCAGAATAAAAATTAAAATCATGTTTAATAAAAATTCTGATTAATAAAATCAGAATAAAAATTAACCAAAACAAATGCTCATTTAAAATTCTGATTTGTAAAAATTAATTTAAATAAAAAACCTGAAAATACTCATCAGGAACAAACCAAGTATTAGAGAAAAAGCAGCAACACAAACGAAAGGCTAAAACATGAAAAAAACGTTGTCTGTAAAAATTCATATCATTTGAAAAATAAATAAAAAAATTATTTTAAAAAAATAAATTAATTAATTAAATATTTAAAAAATTAATTTCAATTAAATTTTCAAAAAAAAATAAAAATTTTATTTTAAAATTTTTATTCAATATCAAAAAAAATACATGGTATTCAAAATAAAATTTAAAAAAAAAACTTTTTAAAGTAAATAATTAATATAATTTTTAAAACCATGAAAAAAATAATATTTAAGATTTATAATAATACATATTTTTATGTAGTCGGACCTCACTTATGACGAAAAAAAATAAAAATGGGAAAAAAAAACACCCAAATCCATATTTAAACTTTTTCCGATCCGAAACCCAAATCGAAAAGAAAAATTTTTTTTGAAAACCCCAACCGATTTTTATTTGACAATTAACACATCCTCGTATAAGTCCTTGGATGCTGAACAAATCGTTAACTCAATATGAGGCAAGGGAGCAGCCAAGGGAGCTTCTGGGACAAAAAGCTCTTCTAAGGCAAAAAGCAGCCCAATTTTTAGCCCCCCCTCCATAAAATCGACTCCCTGGCTAAGCCCTTAATGAGGGATGGGTATAGTAGTGAAATCGACAGATCCCCAGTTAATGGCCAGCCAAGTTAAAAACTCACACCCTAAAGGAATTATGCACAAATTTACAGGGGAAACATAAATGAGGTCGATTGGTATATTTTGATATAATTGTCTGAATTTCGGTTGCTTTATATATTTTTTTTGTTATTTTTAAACAACCCGCTTTTTAAAAAAAACTTTTTTTGTGACACTTAATAGTAAATAAAATAATAAGGAAAGCGACAAAAATCTTCCAAGTTCATTGTCAAAATTATTCTTTCAAAAAAGAAATAAAAAATAAAATTTTGTGGGTATAATTTTGCAAAATTTTGGGGTTAAAGAAATCTAACTTTAAGGAAACAACGAAAAAAAAAATTTTTTTTCAAAAATTAAGTCGCATCCTTATTATATGTATTATTTTTATAAAAAAAATATCTGGGGGAATTTTAATTGTTTTTTTGAATTAAAAAAAAATGTAACAAACTTTTTCTTCTCAAAGTCAATTGAAGACAAAAACTCTTCATCCCTTCCACACACAAAAACATCTCCACTCTTTTTCTCATCAAGCGTTTTCATAAACAAGAAATTTACGCATTTGAATATTTAGAGGAAGTGATTGAATTAATTCAATAAATTTTGCATGAAAATCAGCAAGTTGTTCAGTCCGTTCTTTAACTTTAGTTTCATTGAACTGAAAAAATTAAACAAAAAAATTTTTAGTGAAAGAAGCTTTAAAAATTAAAAAAAAATTTTTTTTGAAAATCTTGGAGTCAGTAAGGCTCTGAAAAAATTTTTAAGGTCTTGAAGCCAGTAAGGCATAAAAATTTTTTTCATTTAGTAAAAAAATCGGAAAATAATTTTCGGGAGTAGACCAAACAACCACAAGGCCAATTTCGAATATATGAGAGCGGGGAAGGGGCAGAACTAAAAAGTACCCTTTTTTGGAGCCTTGGACTCATAAACTACTAAAAAAAATTTCCCCAACTCACCAAAAAAATTATAAACTTTTCTCCCCTCAATGATTTTACCTTAGCCTCCTCTTCTTCTCCTCTTCTTGCAACATTCTCCTCTTCTTCTCGAGTTGTATTATTAGAAATAGGAGCCTGTTTCTTGTTTAAATAAGGAGCCGGTCTTTGATGTAAATATTGAGTCGGCCAACTTGTTGAAGGCCCAGCTACTCCTCCATGTTCTCCTTCTTCTTGTGCTTGTTCCTCAATGTAGCTCAATACACGTTTCATTTTGCTAAAAAATTTTGTGAATTAAAAAAAATTTTTTTTTAATTTTTAAACACATTCTAAGAAAAACAGTTTTGATTAAATCCTTTAAAAAAAGAAAAAAAATTTTTTCCCCATAAAATCTTCTTATTTCAATCTTTGGTAATAGGTTGGAAGTCGCCCTCCCCCTCATTTTACTCTCTACTTTTTTTCCCTTTTTATTGCAAATTATATATCATTCTAAAGACTTTCGAGCTGATGAGTCGAATGACATTAAAATCAACAAAATCTGACTTAAGTAAACTCTAGCCAATCTTGGTATCATATCAAACAAAAACGCTCAAAATGGTCAGGGAACTGGGAAAAAGGAGGCGACCTACAAACTATTACCCAATCTTTTCTACATAAAATCTTCTCTATTTTTGTTAAAATATATTCTAGTAAAATAGTAAATGTACCGAAAATCGAAAAAAATTTTTTTTTGAATTTTAGAGAAAAAATTATAAGGAAATCAAAACTAACGTTATTAGGAAGTAAAAAATTTTTTTTTTAATTTTACTAAAACCTTGATTGCGGCATTTCCAATGAATTAGACGTACTTGTATGCAAACGTTTATTATTACAACTTCCATTTTTAAGAGGACTTGAATTCATAGAATTATTCAACTTTTCTTCTGCCTCCAATTTTTCTTCTTCATCATTTTCCATTTCATCATCACTTTCTTCCTCTTCAATTTTATTCTTCTCATTGCCACTATTTTTACTCATTTTTGATAAACAGTAGCGTCTATAATCCTCTTTCCTACCATCATCTTCTTCTATTTTATCCTCCTCATTATCGTCACTCATTTTTGATAAGCAGTAACGTCTATAAGTTTCTTCCCAATCATTGTCTTCTTCATTAACTTCCTTTTTAATTTTATCCTCCTCCTCCTTATCCTCACTATGAGGGAAGCGGTAACCTCTGAAAACCTCCTCCCTACCATCTTCTTTTTCAATTTTACCCTCCTCCTTCTTCTTATCGTCACTATTTTTACTCATTTTTGATGCGTAGCGTTCGAAAGCTTCAATATTTTCGTCTTTAACCATAATTATATCCTTAGCCGTTTCAAAAGATTCATTACTATTATCACCATCCTCTTCCCCGTCTTTTTTTTCCTTTCCCTCTTCTTCTTTGTCTTCCTCCTCATCATTTTGCTCCCCTTCCCCATCCTCTTTTTCTTCCTCATCCTTTTCTTCTCCATTTTCCTTTTTCTCATCTTCTTTCTCCTCTTCTTCCTCATCTGAAGATAATTCAAGACCAAGTCGTGCCAATTTATTTTTCATTTTCAATGTTACCTTCTTTTTCGGTGTTGTTGTTGTCATTTTTGCTGTTTTATACGAATCATCATTCTTATCATTATTTAAATTAACATAACTTTCAGAAGAAGATAACGAACCAACATTATTTTTATCTGACCAACTATCAGCATCACTATTTACAGCTTCATTGTTCTCATCCTCATTGTCTGTTCGATCTACATTCTCATAATTTCCAATACTATCATCATCATTCTCAACATTTTCCCCTTCTTCTTCTTCTTCTTCTTCATGTTCATCATCATCCTCATTATTAACCTCATCTTCAGATTCAAATACAAAATTCTAAAAAAAAAAATTTTTTTTTTCTTAAGAAAAACTATAGGCGTGGGACAAAAAAATTATTTCTCTATTATTAGAAAAACTTATAGTTAATGACAAAATAAGAAAAATACCTTCCTAGCTATTACCAAAAAAATTTTTTTAATAAAGATTTTAACATCGTATAGAGCATGGTCGATAACTTTGAAGCCCTGTAACTTTTCAAAATGGGAGGCAAAGCCAAAAAAAGCAAAAAAATTTGGTAATAGTCTATCGATTATACAATAAAGTTGGCGGATCCGGATCCAAAAAAGGCCGGATATCCAGAAATTTTCGGTTTAGATACCGGATCCAAAGATTTCCAACTACTCCCCCCAACCTTATTATACAATAGTATAATTTTTCTTTCAAAAAAATTTTTTAAGTCATAGCTCGAAAGGTTTCCTCATGAGAAGTAACCAATCTATTCTACAAGTAAAGTAAGTCCAAGTAAGTTCCCCCTATATTTTTTAGTCAGTCCCATAAAATAAAAAAGAAACAAACTCTTACAAAAGCTTCATCATCAGGTCCCGAATAAAAACGCTGTTGCCGTTCATTGTCACGTAATTCAATTTCAGGCTCCTCATTTTCATCATCATCATTTTCCTCATCATTATCAGAATCATTAGCATTATTAATTATATGTACAGTTCTTCTAGCAGCATGATGATGAGCTATAGCTTCGTGATGACGACGTATACGATCACGTGCAAATAAAGCAAAAAGATGACGAAATTGTGTAGCGTGAGTATGGCGAAGATTTGCAAGCATTTGGCGGTGGTTGTTGTTGTGATTGTGTCGTCCATTATTATTTGCTGCCCCATTATTATTATTGTTAGGATCACCATGCGTGTTGGTACCTTTAAAAAAAATTTTTTTGTATTAACAAGAAAATTAACGGATTAGAAGCTGGGGAAAACCGAAAACGGAATCGATATCCAAACACAAATTTCCGAATGCTCGGACTGGTTTTTGGTTCCAAATACTACCAGTCTTACAAGGAGAGGTTGCGAGGTCGAGACCGGGCTCATTCGAGAAGGACATTAAAAACACATTTTCCTTGTTAGAAAGGGCAAATTCTCTATCGACTCGGTCTCGACGGTTTTTAGGTCGGACACCTCACAACCTCTCCCTGTTAGCAGGGAAAGTGACGCAGAAAAATTTTGACAGAAATCTAGTCACAATACGGTCTCACAAATTAAAAGCTGATTCATTCAAGTACCAACAATAAAAACTAAAAACATACCAACAGAAGTAAAACGAGTTCTTAAAAGCAAAGGTTGAGGCAAATGTGGATTTAAGACTATAGGCCTAGGAGGGAAAAGATCGTCCCTTGAAGGATTCCGTTGATTTCTTTCGTCACTACTACAAGATTTTTTGGCATGTTTTTTGGCATAAAGTGAAAAAATTTCAACAGGTTTGTCAACAAGAAGTTTTTGGCGAATTAATTGTCGAATTCTGAAAAGAAACAAAAATTTATAAAATAATTTTAAATTTCAATAATGATTCGTTAACAAAAATTCTAAATAACTTAAAAAAAATTTTGGTGTGAACTTAATTTTTATTAGCTTGGTCTCCCAACAGGTTTTTCGATTTTTTTGTTTCAGAATCAATTCTGACAACGTTTTTGACCCCCAAAAATCTGGTTAATCCCACCAAGGTCTTTCAAATTTTACAAGTCTGTAACTCGGTTCCTGATTCAGGGATATGACAGTGACATGATTGAGTCGATTCTAATTGGAGGATCAACTTCAACTCAGTTTCTGTGTCTCTCCTTCGAGTGACATATCCCATTTGCAAGGACCAGCTCCCTACCTCCCCTCCTGGCTACACCCTTGATTCTTTGTCAAATTAGACCAGAACAATGAAAAACCTCTATAAAAAGTCACGCTTTCCAGTTTTGTGTTTTTAATTTAAAATTCTAATTTTTGCTAATAAAAAATAGACAAACTTGTTTCGACACAAAAATTGTAATGAAGTAGGTTGAATTAGTGGAAGCGAAACAGATCCATTTGAAAGAGAATTGTCATCAATATTTACAGGAATTAAATGAGAAAATGTAACTGCACTTAGATCACGAGTTTTAAACAATTTTTCTGATTTACGAATAACACGTTGAAGCTAGAAAAAAGAATTCTTTAAAATTAATTTTGCTTCTCTCCCGCCTTCTTGTTGGATACACGCTTGAAACCAGATGTGTCACGGGTGTCAGGAAAACCGCCTTTTAATCGACCCGATACTCGATCAAGGAATTTTCTTCCAAAAACCCAACCCAAATTTTTTCCTTTTTAATCTCCTAAAAAGCCAGACACAAAACGCAAATACCAAAAATTTTTTTGAAAACACGACCCAGTTTTAACCAGTGTTCAATTTTACGGGGCGTGGGCCGATCGTACAAGGACCGAAGGTTACGGAGAATTCGGGTTCGGGAACCCTGCAAGCTTCCCCACGGGGGATCTTGAAAAAAATTAAAGTACACCCGGAGAATTCCCTTCCCCAAGGACAGGGGTTGAACCCTATTTTTTACCAGTCATGTGCACATCCTATTCCTACCTAATTCTTATTTGCAATAAAATTACAAAAATTTTTTTTTAACCGAATGTCCATACGGCATAACTAGAATTCCCTCCTCTTTTAAAAATGAGCAAAAATAAGCACGGTGAGATTCTGGGACTAGAGCACCACAATAAATTCTGTCATATTTATTAGTATTTTGTTCAAGTTGAAAAGCATTTCCAACAAAATAAGTAGGGGAACACCTAGGAATTAGAAAAAAGTTAAGAAAAGTTGAAAACCATTGAATTAAGGGGCAAACCACCGTCCAGACATTAAAGTAAAAACCTCGTCAATTTTTACAGATATTATAAATTCAATAGAGATCGGCCAATATCTGGATCCATAACTTGATCTTTCCCAAAATCTAGAGTTATAATTAAGACATTTTTTAGTGTTCCCTGATTGCCCTTAAGGTAAACGATTTGGTCAAGGTCCTCGACCAAAATCAAGAACAAAGGTTTTTTTTTTAAAATTTTCAATTCTAGGATTCAATTTGTTTCGATATTATGCTTTTTTAACATTTTAGACTTCACGACTATTTGGTTTTTTTAGATATGGGACTATAACTCGAAAATGAAAAAAAAATTTTTAACCTTAACAAAAGCGAAATGGATATTTTTAATAATCTTAACTCGAGATCCTGGAAAAGATCAAGTTTTGTATGGACAGTGTTTTATCCTTACACGTACCATTCAAATGCACAGGCTTCAGGAGATGATTGAAACAAAGAAATGCGTTCAGCTGCATAATCGGCAACATTTTCTAGAAGCAAATTAATTAAATTTTAAATTAAAATATTTAAAATACCATAAAGTTCAACTCCATGATTGATTCCATTTTCTTCTAAAAAATAAAAATATAAAAAAGAAAGATAGAAGTTAGAAAAAAAACCTAAAAAGAAGCCTGCCATAGTGCTGAGATAACCCGTACCAGATCCAATATTGAGAAAAGACTGTCCTTTTTGTAAATCAAGATGTTCGAGGACCTGAAGAAAATTATTATTTTTAGCATTAACTAGGGTAATTTTGAACAGAAAGTCTCGATATGACTCCAGTATTTTGATCATTTTTAATGAGTACTCCTAAAAGTACTCCTGAAAGACTCGAATACTCCTGAAAAAGACTCCTCTTCATTTTCTCCCCATTCCTCCTTTTATGATGCCCATGGCAATTAAATCTGCCACAAAAAATTTTTGGTGGATAAAAATTATGAAAATCTTAAAAGCTCATAAGTAGGAAAGGCACCAAATTCACACCAAAGGATTGTGGGAAGGAAAGAAGAAAAGGAAGTCGTATAGCCAAAAATACCCTCGGGTTCCTAATGAAAGTGTGAGCTCAGAAAGAGGCCCCTCAACTAAAAATCTCGCACTCGCATCAGCCGTTTAAAGGGGCCGACGTTCTCTGACCATTATGAGACCACTATATCTTATTCTCTTCTCAATCAATCAAAATTAATCCAACTAATATGTGGGAATTGAGCTTTCGTGCCAAAATTATTGTCAGAAAACACCGGCCTCCGTTAAACTGCAGGAGTACAAAAAATCTTTTAAAGAAAATACATTTGCATAAATACACGGAGCAGAAATATGTAAAAATCCAGGCAGTCCCAAATCCGATTTCCAAGCAGAATCTTTATAAGCATTTTCCTCCACAGCATTTTCTGGCATAAATTTGCCTCGATCAACAAGTCTACAAACAAAATTATTTCCTTTTTTTAATAAAAAATAAAAAAACCTCATTATCCGTTCAACCCTTTCATTTTTAATTGAATCATGTTTAACCAAATTGTCAACTAATTCATCGTTGTTTTTGCCTACACTAGCGACTAGACCCATTAGAAATTGGAAAAAAATATCTAAAAATAAGAAAAAGCTGATCAAAATAAGCTAAATAAGAAAAAAAATCACAGGTCCAACCTCGAGATAAAAAAATGATTTTTTTATTTTTTATTACCGTAGGGGATAAAATGTCATTTAAATTAAACGGAACGCCAAGAATGGAAAAGAGAAATTTTTAAGGGATTTTTAAAAGGAGTTTACTGTGACTGTGAATCTGATATCTTTATTGGTACCATTCGATAGCCTTAGGTCATTAATAGAGCCCGGCACGAGACGGGACCCCGTACGGGATTTACTGGATCCCGGAATCCCGGGTTTTAGCGACAAACGGGATTACCGGGATTTACGAGATTAATCCCGCGGGATCCCGTCCCGTACAGCATTTTGATAGAAATTTCGTTCGGGATCCAGGGAATACGATTTTGCCGCCCTCTAGTCATTAACTCCCTCAAAATGTTTTTTTTTAATTTCAGAAAGCATTAAAAAAAAGATTTTTTCTAAATGAAAGATATTCAGAAACAATGCGTAATTTGCAGAACAAACAAAGCTTGGAGGATAAAGATGAGGGGAGCTGAGAATAAATGTGGACACATTGTTTGTGTTAAATGCATGTTACTACACGCTCAGGTAAATTTCCTAAAAGACCCTCCAAAATCCTCAAAAAATTTCAGAAATGGATCAAAAAAGACAAGCCTCGTATTAAATGTCCAATGGAGAATTGCCGTGAAAGGGTGCATGAAAATGACATTGCGGCAGTTTTAAATCCAGATTGTGAAGCATTGGACCCCTTTATGGATTCTAAAACGAGAAGAAAGCTTGCGGAAAGGCATGATGTGAGCGTTATCAAGTACGCATTGGGTGAGAGAAGTAGATGCTGTCCACGTTGTGAGGTAGGGAAGAATTTAAAAATATTTGACACGCTAAGGGTTCAAACCTTCACCCTCTAAATCTAACAACATCCCACTTAACCACAAAAGTTTTTTGGCCCGCTCGGGGTTCGAACCTTCACCCCCTAAATCTTGGCAACATCCCACTTAACCACAAATACTCATTCTTACGAAGAGCGTAGATTTTACCCACGTTGTATGTGGGAAAATCTCGAAAAATATTTGAGCCGCTAAGGGTTCGAACCTTCACCCCTTAAATCTAACCAACATCCCACTTAACCACAAAAAAAATTATTTTTTTCAGAATTTGTACGGTCAAAAAGTCGGTTGTAATTATGTTCGCTGCGCAAATTTGTATTGCAATACTTGGTTCTGTTGGATTTGTGGAAAAGAAGATGTTAATTGGGCCCATTTTACTGGTACAAACTTGATTTTTATTTTAAAAATTTTTTCCACAAAATTCAGGATTAAAATGCAAACTTCGAGTGGAGGATATACTCAAAGCACTCTACATTGTTTCATTTACAATATTCACAAGTGGACTAATTCTTACTTATTTTATGCCTGCGGTTGCTTTGGGATTGTTTGTGAGTCAAAAAAAAATTTTTTTTTGGAAAATTAAAATTTTTTTGAAAATTCTAAAAAAAAATTTTTGAAAAATTAAAAAAAATTTTTAAAAAAATTTTTCTTAAAATTCTAAAAAAATTTCTTTAAAATTCTAATAAAAAAATTTTTTAAAAAATTTAAAAAAATTTTTTTTTAATTTTCCAGATAATCGCTCCAATTTGTGTTACTCTTGGAACACCCTACTTTATTTTGAAATGGCTTGAAAATATTTGGAGGCGACTTTCTACGACAAGACTTGAAATTTGGCAGCTTATAATTTACTGGATTATAGTAAATTTATTTTTAAAAATTAAAAAAAAATTTTCTTAGTATTTAATTCTCTACGTTATATTTCTTCCATTTGGTATTGTTGCTGCAATTTTATCTCTTAGTCTTTCTACAATTGCTTTTACTTTTTATTTTACTATGATGCTTGTAAAGGCTGTTCCATTCCTAGGGCAGGTAAATAAAAATAAACTTTAAATTGTAAAACTTTTTTACAAATTGTAAATCTATTCATTTCAAGTTTATTTATAGTGGAATTGAGTTCCTTTTATTTTTACAAATTGTAAAACTTGTTTTTACAATTTCAAGTTTATTTATTCATAAACTTTTTTTATTTTACAAATTGTAATTATTCAAGTTTATTTATTCAGAAACTTTTTTTATTTTACAAATTGTAATTATTCAAGTTTATTTATTCATAAACTTTATTTTACAAATTGTAATTATTCAAGTTTATTTATTCAGAAACTTTTTTTATTTTACAAATTGTAATTATTCAAGTTTATTTATTCATAAACTTTATTTTACAAATTGTAATTATTCAAGTTTATTTATTCAGAAACTTTTTTTTATTTTATAAATTGTAAAACTTACTTGTACAAATTGTAATCCAAGTAAATTTATGCATAAACTAGGGTATTTATTTTTACAAATTGTAAAACCTACTTTTACAATTTGTAATTAAAGTTTATTTATACGGGAATTAAAACTTAACCATTTGTAAAACATTTTTACAATTTGTAATTTTTCAAGTTTAATTTTTACAGTTTGTAAAACCTTTTACAATTTGTAATTAAAGTTTATTTATACAGAAATCAAGTTCTTTTTACTTTTTTACAATTTGTAATTACAAATTGTAATCCTTTTTATTTTTTCAAGTTTATTTTATAAACGTTAGGTCCCTTTTTTACAATTTGTAAAATTTAAAGTTTAATCTTTAAATATTAAAAAGATTATGTGGTTACTCGAAGTAACAAATTACATTAGCGGATGTTTTGGATTTGGCGGTTGGTTAGAGTGGTATAAACATTCAAGAGAGAAAAAGGATCGTCAACAACGTGCACAAATGCAATTCAGGGCAGAACGAAGTGAAAGAATGGCAAATCCGTTGGTTGGAAGGTAGAGGGGATTTTTGGAGGATTTTAAAGGATTTTTGAGGATTTTTCAATTTTTTTTGTTTTTTCAATATCTTCTTCTCTTTACCCTATTTTTCCTTTATTTTACTCCTTTTTTCTCGTTTCAATTTAATTTACTTTTCTTTTTCCCTTTTATAAAATTACAGATACTTCAGTAATATATACAAAAATTTAAAATAATTTGTAAAACAAAAAAATATTGTATAAATTGCAATTTGTAAAAATTTAAAGTCTAATTTATTCCCGCCTGTTCAATTATAGAGAAGATATTGTTTTAAAGGTGGAGGAACGTTCAATTCGGACACTCGCGCCAATCCGTTGGTGCCTAGAGCGAGCCGTATCCTTCGGCGACAAATATCCATTAGTTGTCTGGGCTCAGCTTTAAATTGTAATTAAAAAATAGAATTTTTAGTAAATTGAATTTAAATTTAGTTATAGTTGTTTTAAGGTTGTTTACTTAGAATTGTAAACTTAAAGTTTTGTAATCTGAGGTTTTATTTTCAAGCATGAACTTAAAAGTTTAATATTTTACAAATTGTAAATTTCAAGTTTAAAGTTTAACGTTAAGTTTTAAACTTTTTACAAATTGTAAAACTTAGATTAAAAGTTTTTACAATTGTACAAACCTAGATTTACAATTTGTAAATCTACACTAGTTAAAACTTAAAAAAGTTTTTACAAATTGTAAAACTTAGATTAAAAGGTTTTTACAAATTGTAAAACTTAGATTAAAAGTTTTTACAAATTGTAAAACTTAGATTAAAAGGTTTTTACAAATTGTAAAACTTAGATTAAAAGGTTTTTACAAATTGTAAAACTTAGATTAAAAGTTTTTACAAATTGTAAAACTTAGATTAAAAGGTTTTTACAAATTGTAAAACTTAGATTAAAAGGTTTTTACAAATTGTAAAACTTAGATTAAAAGGTTTTTACAAATTGTAAAACTTAGATTAAAAGTTTTTACAAATTGTAAAACTTAGATTTACAATTTGTAAACCTACATTAGTTAAAACTTAAAAAAATTTTTACAAATTGTAAAAACTTTAAGTCAGATTTAAATAAACTTGAAATTTACAATTAGTAAAATATAAGTTTTAAGTCTGAACTTAAAAATAAATCTCAAACTTTTTACAATTTGTAAAACTTTATTTATTCGCAAACTTAACTAAAAACTCAACTTTCTTTTTTTTTAATTTTTCTAAAAAATAATTAGTATCTCACGATCAAGTCCTCCAATATATCGAATTGTAACTTCACAATGTCCCCATACTGCGCTAACTGCTGGGTATAACTTTTTTCCCTTTAATCCACAAAATGCAGTTCCTAAAAATGATGAATCTGTAGCGAAAGACATTTTTCCTTCATCCATATCCAAAATACAATAAATTTTTTCTGGTGTTTGGAATGAGGTAATTTGTTGCTGGTCACGTTGACCGTTGGATATTTGAAGTGGTTGCATTGGATAAACCCATCCTTTTGTGTTAGCTGAATCGTGGTAGCATTTATTATCAACTGAAAAAATTTGGAAATATCAGGGGAAAGACTTGAAAAAAATTCCCACCAATATTCCAACCATAACCCTCTTCATCATTCCCAATAAGTGAGGAATACCCGGCAACACGTAAAGAAGCCTTTTTGGTTACTACCCCTATTGCTGCGTGTGTTCCTCTTTGATGAACGGGCCAAATTATTTGCCAGACGTGAAAACCACGGGAGAATCCAATCTAAAAATTGTTAAAGTATTTGTTTTTGTTTAAATGCTAATATTTTTACAAATTGTAATTTGATTAGAGTAAAATTGTAATCGCAATTATTATTGTAAAAGTTAACAGAAAATAAACTTGGATTTTTACAAATTGTAAAAACCCAAGTTTATTCAATTGCAACATTAATTAATAGGAACTATTGTAATTTCCAACTTATTTTACAAATTGTAAAAAGTTTATTTTTTAAATTGTAAAATTATTGTAAAAATTAATAAAAAATAAACTTGGAGTTTTACAAATTGTAAAAATCCAAGTTTATTAATTTGCAACTTTAATAGGAACTATTGTCATTTCCAACTTATTTTACAAATTGTAAAAAAAGTTTATTTAATTGCAACTTTAATTATAGGAACTATTGTGATTTCCAACTTATTTTACAAATTGTAAAAAGTTTATTTTTTAAATTGTAAACACTACTGTTGTAAAACTTAAGTTTGCACTTTTAATTTAAATTCAAGTTTAATTACACGTTTATTTATTTGTAGTAATCTTAAGTTTGTAAACTTAAGATTTTTTATTAATTAAAATTTCAATTGTACTTTAATTAGGTATATTAATATGCAATTATTGTAAAAATTAAAAAATAATTTTTATTTTTTAAATTACAATTCCCTATCATTCAAAATTTTCACTAATATCAAAAACCCACTTTTGCCCTAATAGCATCAGAACTTTGAGCAACCGGATGCCTATGCATTGTTAATTTATCATCAGGCTTCACATAAACATTAACTGAATGATCTTCTGAATTCCAGGCGTATTTTTCTGCCTCTTCCAAAGGCAGTTCAGGCATTTGGAGGATAACATCAAGTTTGTAAGTGCACATAACTTGGAATTGGTGTGCCTCCAAAAACGAGGAATGGAAAATCTAAAAAAATAAAAAAAAATTTGTCTAAAATTTGTCCTTTTTTAAACCAAAATTAATATTTTAGAATCAATATGAAAGTAAATATAGGGAAAGGAAAATGGAATAAAATGAAGGCCACCAGTGACTTTAAAGCTGTTTTTAATTTTTTTTTGGAAACAAAAAAATTGATGGCGGCCTATTTTCGCGCGACACTCTTGTCAATTTACCCCAAAAATAAATTTTAATCAATCAAAAAATGTTTCAAATTTTTTTAAACTTACCAAAGGACAAACTAAAGGTAGAGGACGTAAAGAAATGCTTCGAGATCTATGTCGTATGCGTTGTTGCAATATTTGTCTTTGTGGGGGTTGGGGTTGTCGAGTCTGAAAAGATGATAATAAAAGTTGAGAGTTTGAAAAAGTTTGATAAGGGAACAAATGCTTTTAATAAAAATTTACAATCAAGTTTATTTTTTAAGTAAAATAACTGAAATTTTAATACGAATAAAATTACAAATTGTAAAAAGTTTAATTTACAATATGCAAAAAATAAACTTTAATTGTAAAATTTTATTTAATAAAGTTTTACAATTTCAAGTTTATATTAAATATTGTAAATTAAACTTTTTACAATTTGTAATTTTATTAAAATTGCAATTTTAGTTATTTTCCAAGCTCATTTTTCTATAAATTAATAAGTTTACAATTTTCGAGAAAATTAATGTTGGCTTAAAAATACTACACCTTATTCGCTCTTCTAGCTGACGTTGACGGCTGTTCTTCTTCTACCGAATCACCACCTTCTTCAGATTCAGGAAACCTTGAGTATTCCCCACCGCTAGTGCCCGACTTTTGAGATAAGAGGATGTTTCGAGCTTTTAATGAAGCGTGTAATAATTGACGGAGAGGGGAATGTTGCTGTTTCTGAAAAATTTTAGGGCAAATTATATGGGGGAAAAGGACAATTTATTTTGTTAAAAAATTTTAAAAATGTCTGGATTTAATAAATTTAATCAATTAATATTTTAAAATACCCCTTACATTTAAAGGCGATGTTTTATTTCGACGAGGAGAGGAAGATAATGACTGCTTTATAGGTGAAATTGGCACTGGTGGCCAAGCAATAAATGGTGTAGGAAGAAAAGGACGTCTAGGCAAATGAAATGGGGTAGAAGTAGATTTTGGTTGTTGTTGTCGTTGATGATGTGATAAAGGTGGGGGAGAGTCTGAAAAATTGGATAAATAAAAGTTTTAATTTTGAGCAAGCAAATTGCAATTAAATTACAAAATTACAACTTTACAAAAAGTTGCAGCCTTAAAAAAGATTACAAACTTAAAAAAGTTTGTAAAATTAAAAAAGTTTGTAAACTTAAAAAAGGTTGGAACCTAAAAAAGTTGCAAACTTAAGAAGCTTGTAAACCTAAAGGCTTAAAAAGGTTGTAAACTTGAAGGTCATAAAAAAGGTTGTAAACTTAAAAAAGGTTAAGGTTGCAATCTTAAAAAGTTGTAATTCTACAAAAGATTGCAAACTTAAGAAGGTTGTAATTTTAAAATTAAAGGTCTTAAAAAAGGGTTTTACAATATTTAAATTTGTAAGACTTGGAATTTAAAAATTGTATTTTTCTATATTTGGTTAAAAAAAGTAAAATTTAAATTATAAAACCGATCCCTTATTTTCTCCCGTTTTTTAAGTAAATACATATTAAATTAATTTAAAAAAACAAGTTAATATGTAAATATATTTATTTAATAAATATCCAATAAATTTTGAAAAAGACACGCTCAAACTGGATATAAACAGAAAAAAAAATAAAAAAAAGAGGATGAACATTAATAAAAGGAAGATGATGAACATTAATAAAAGGAATGAACATTAATAAAAGGAAAAATTAACAATTTTATTTACATAAAATTGAAAAAATGAGAAAGATAAATAAACAAAAAAATTAGATTTTTACAACGTTTTTAATGGAATTTTAATATTTATAAATTAATAAGAGAAAGATTGTAATCTTAAGTTTAGTTTTTTACAAATTGTAAAAATAAAGTTTATTTTATTATTAATTCAAGTTTATTTAAAATTGCAAATTCAAGTTTATTTATTTTTACAAATTGTAATTTAAAGCTTATTTAACTTTACAAATTGTAATTTAAAGCTTATTTAACTTTACAAATTGTAATTTAAAGTTTATTTATTTTTACAAATTGTAATTTAAAGTTTATTTAACTTTACAAATTGTAATTTAAAGTTTATTTATTTTTACAATTTGTAATTTTATTTATTATTTACAAATTGTAAAAATCCAAGTTTATTTTAAATTGCACTCCAATGCTGATTTTTTGAGAATTGCAATCTTAAGTTACCTATATTGTACAATTTGTAGTTTTATTTTTGCGCTCTTTTAAACTATTTTAATTTACTAAGAATTGTAAACCTAAGTTTATTCTCAGCTAATGGAACGTTATGAAAGTTTGCTCATAAATTCCCACAATTAATTATTAAGACTAAAATAAAAAAAAAAGATAGCAAGGAACACAAAGATTATTTATTCTAAAAAGGAAAAAAATGGAAGTTGATAAGGAAAGAATTTTAAAATAGAATGAATAATGTAAGGCTGGGTTCATCCTGAAATCACGTGAACAATGATGTCGCTATAAACATTGTGCTAAGTTACGGAAGTTCCCAGAGAAAAGGCAAAGAACGCCACAAACGGCCATTCCCAGAGAGTTATTATCCGCCCATTATCTAAGCTTATTATCGCCATTAACTTATCCTTGGGAAAGCAATAGGGAAGTAAGCTGGTGCATATAAGCTCTAATGGAATAGGCAAAGGCGGATCACTTCTTCATTCATTCAACAGAGTTGCCGGCCGGCCAATCCATCCTTGTAGGGAAGAGCGCTCTCCCTATATTCCCCCACTGCGTGCGATTCGCCTATTTCTATACTCTGCGGAGTTCACACATGTCTGCAGCATGCGCGACTTTGCTTATAACATCAACTAACTAACGAGGCACTGGGGAACGGGACCAACCGCTTTACTGGTAGCACCGGATGGTTCCTCACCTTTTGCCAAAAAAATCTGAGTTAAGAATAGGTCGGGGAATTTTTAAAAGATGGAAATTATTATTTATTTTTGGCCTCAAAATCCGCGGTCCAATTTTATTATCAGATTATTTTATGAATGAATATTTTTATTTATGCGCTCAAAATCCTAGGTCCCCCATTTTGATAAATAATTAATTTTTTGAATGAAGATTTTATATAAGGGGGTTAATTTTATAGTGATCTATCCTCTGCGGAGGCCATTTATATTAAAAATTATTTTTATCATCGGAGCCCCCCATTTTACATTGAATTATTTAATTTTTGAATGAAGATTTTATAAAATATTAGGGGGTAATTTTAAAAGTGATCTATCCTCTGCGGAGGCTATTTATGTATATGAAATCTATTTTTAAAAGGAAAAAAAAATAAAAGAATTATAATAATAGAAAAATTAACTTTAATAAATTATTTTATCCTCAGTAACCCCATTTTTTATATAAATTAATTTTTGAATGAAGAAAGGATAATTTAGAGGATAATTTATGTGATCTAACCTCTGAGGAGGCCATCTAAGTAAATAATTTTAGAAAATAAGAAATAAGATAATAATTTTCATAAAAGTATAACTAGTATTATAAGAACTCGGGGTTTAAAAGAACGCTGCGGCGTTCACGATTCTTTTTTATGTTCAATTTCTTCTGACTTATGTGTATATTGATCAAATAACAACAAACAAGCAAATGACAACAAAAGGCTCAACGCAAATAACAAATAAACTTTTGCTCAGTATCCCGCGGGATTTTCTAAATTTACTACTATTTACAATAAATGAGTGTCACAATATGGAAATTATTCCACTCATCAAGGATTCAAAAAAGGTAAGAAAAATTTCAGATGTTTAAATTTAATTTCACCTTCATTAGACATTTATTTCGAATTTAAAAGAAAATTTTTAGTAAATTATACTATTAACTAGTACTTTTTTTTTAAAAAAATCCATTTTTGTAAAAAAAATTTAAAACACTATTATTTTACATCATTCTAGTCTTTCAATTCTTCTCATATACATATTTGTCTCTTTATAAAATGAATAATTTTCTTAAAGAATTGATAAATCTTCAGTTTAGATATCCACAAAACCCCACGGGGTTCAATTATGATAAAAATAATTAAATTAAATTTTGACTTCCATTAATCCCCTAATTTTTTACAACACATTCTGTTATTTTAAGAGTCATAAATGGTTTTTAGAAGAAATTTCAGTGAAGAATTTAAAAAAAAATAACAGCTTAAATACCGAACATTTGGTTAAAATTCACTGAATAAGTCTGATAACGAGTAAACCTTTAATCATTCAAAAAAAGTGAAAAAATTAATTTTCCAATAAATTAATTGTTGGGATTGGGTTCCGAAGCCTTTCGAGGATTATTCAAATTATATTCTTTAAATTATTTATTTACATTTAACTATTTACAAATAAAAATATATACATAGCGAAAAGAGGGAAAGGGGACAATTACAAGAGTCTGGCCAGAACTCACATAAACACTTCTAATTAGATATTAAGATAAGATGAATGACCATTTTGGATGAGTATTTATAGGGGACATTAACAGGTCAAGATTGGGGTAAACAAGTGAATAACAAATAATAATATAAGGGTCGGGAATTGTGATAAACTCTGATAACGGTCGGGATTCCTTTTAATATAGGAAAAGGTCAAAATATTTGTGCCTGTGAATGCACGTGAATACATCATTTATTTTTAGTTTGTTTATTTGATTAGGAGGGATGCAGCATTCCTTCCCCCTTTATTTGAACGTCCACGTTCAAAATTGTAGTTTAATTTTTTTTTTTAAAATGAGGGTAATTTAGGCTATTTTATTAATGTAATATATATTTTTTTTAATATTCTACAAGATTTAAGAATTTAATTTCCTCATCGTACAATTCCGAACGACGGTTTTTTTTTTAATACTTCCTTACAATTTTACTCCGACCAAGCTTTATCTTTAAAATTTTAATTTTTATTTTGATTGTCTCTCGTCTTGGCGACGGCTTTCAAATTACTAGTATACTTTTATTAATTATTGTAAAAGCTATAATTCGCTTTGAATTATTCTTTAGTTTTCTTCTTTAATGTTTCTTTTTTTTTTCAGCTTTTTTTTTTGCCAAATTCTCCGAAAAATTAATTATAGGGATATTACGTTGAAAAAGAAAGGGTTATGGGTTGTTTTACATGAGTACAGAAAAATTTTTGGTAAATAGACGGAAAACAAAGTGAGGTGAAATTTGGATAGTTAGCAATAAATGTTAAAAGGGGTTTTATTACAATCCAGTCAAACACTTTGTAGAAGAGCAGCGATTTTAGTTGAGTTCCTTTTTTGTTTTCAAGTTGCAGAGCAGACTTTTTGTTTCCATTTAGTTGATTTTTTGAACATTTCTTCATCCTTCCTGAGTTGATTTTGCTGCAGAGGCCTATGTTTTTATCGTTGTAGGAAGTTATCTTCTTCTGATGTTTCGGTCGATTCTCCCAATTTAAGACAGGGGATTTTTCTCTACTTTTTTCTCGGTTTTGGGATTATGTACTACATGTTATTTTATTAAATCTTACTTTTGGTTTTCTCAACAAATTTTCTAAAAAATATTACTCCATGTGCGACTTTTGCGTGTGACTTGTTGAAAATTGACGGCTTTTATCAAGTCCCGGTGAATTATTTTACTAACAATTTCTTCGGGCATTTCATTATTTTAAAACAAATTAGTGTTTTTCTCGGCGAGACTAATGTTTATTTTCTGACGGTATTTGATTTTTTTCCCTGCCGGTGTTTCAGCTTATCAATTTAGGTATTCATTTCCCTTTTAAACATTCGATTTGCCGGTGAATCTCCTATTTTTTTAGGGATGGGTGAAGACCTACATATATTCTTTTAGTTCTATTTTATTTGCTTCTCTTATCTCATATTTTTTTTAATTACTCCTATTTTTAACATTTTCAAATGTTTATTTAATTCTGCTTGATATTTTTCCGATACTTGGTAAGGTCGTCAATAGCCGGAATTTCAATGTTTGTTTAAATTGTCGGAGCAATTTATAATGTAAAAATTGTCATTTTCATTTTTTTTTACTACACTCGCCTTTTTTCATGTTCTATTTCTAATTTTTCTCGCTCTTCCATAG